CTTTAGGATCTCTCAGACCTGAAGCTCAACACTCCAATTTTTTATTTCATTATCTCACGACATTATCTGTTTGTCTCCCCACCGCTCTCCGCGCTGTTTGCTCTCCGCATTGTTTGCTCTCCGCACTGTTTGTTCTCAGCACTGTTTGCTCTCAGCACTGTTTGCTCTCTGCACTGTTTGTTCTCAGCACTGTTTGCTCTCAGCACTGTTTGCTCTCTGCACTGTTTGCTCTCCGCACTGTTTGCTCTCAGCACTGTTTGCTCTCAGCACTGTTTGCTCTCAGCACTGTTTGCTCTCAGCACTGTTTGCTCTCAGCACTGTTTGCTCTCAGCACTGTTTGCTCTCAGCACTGTTTGCTCTCAGCACTGTTTGCTCTCAGCACTGTTTGCTCTCCCGAACAGGATGGATTCGAGGAGGGTTAGTCAAACCTGACAAACCTGTTAAGCGACCGTGCCAGGGCGGCGGAGATGGAGCAAGAGAGACAAGGCTAAACTCTTCCAACAATAGACACATCAAGCACATATTTCCTAAATAATGACAATCATTATTCAAATGTCGCGAACGTCTCTTCTAAGTCTTCAAATACTTTATCAAGCCAACTTTAGGGGCGTAATATATAACATTCACGAAAACTGTCTTTGTATATGAGGCCTCCAGACTTAAGCAGTCGACGAAATATGAAAAAGTGAAAGATCAATTCACTGGGCTGTAGAAGTCTCGAACCGTGGACCCCACGTATGTGAGACTGGGTTCCTGCAACCCAGGTGAATGGAATGTTTATTTCCACGGAAGTGAATGTATTTGAGAAATGACTCGTCAGTATGCTACAGGGCCAGACCTGTGATGAACAGTTCAGTGAGAAGCAGCTCACCACTCCGGAGGAAATAAAAAGGATGAGGGGCACGATAGAGAGGTATCAAACTCCGAGGAAGATCGAAATATTCGCCATCGCCAGGAGCTGATGCAAGATCCTTCATGGAATTAAAGACTAAATCAATCGCATGTCATATTAAAATATATATGCAGATGGTAGCTTATGGAGAGACTATTTAAACAAATTAAAGATATAGATTATTGTCTATAGTCATCACCCTCCACAGCCACACCTGCCTGTTCATCACCTCACAGCCACACCTGCCTAGTCATCAACCCCACAGCCACACCTGCCTGGTCATCACCCCCCCAGCCACACCTGCCTGGTCATCACCCTCCACAGCCACACCTGCCTGGTCATCACCTCACAGCCACACCTGCCTGGTCATTAACCCCACAGCCACACCTGCCTGGTCATCATTCCCACAGCCACACCTGCCTGGTCATCACCTCACAGCCACACCTGCCTGGTTATCACCCTCCACAACCACACCTGCCCGGTCATCACCCCACAGCCACACCTGCTCTACATACCCCGCTGGGTTGCACACATAAGGTTGCGTAACTGGTTGTAAAACGTCTCTCCTATTTTTTCCTCTGTTCATTGACCTTTTGAAAGTTCGAAAGGTAGCTTATAACCGGTTCCTGTGTGTCTGAATGCCTGGAATTCGTGCGTGCGTGTATGTGTGTGTGCGTGTATTTACTATTTGTGTCTGCAGAATCAAGCTATTAGCTCTTGGACCCCGCCTTTCTAACCAATCTATATTTCCCCAATTACGACTACTACATTTATTGTTCTCTAACACACACATGCCCAAGAAGCAGTCCTTAGAAGCTGCCTAATTCGGAGGTACCTATTTACTATTAGGTGAACATGGGCATCAGGGTGAAAGACACTGTGTGTGTGTGTGTGTACTCACCTAATTGTGCTTGCGGGGGTTGAGCTCTGGCTCTTTGGTCCCGCCTCTCAACCGTCAATCAACTGGTGTACAGATTCCTGAGCCTATTGGGCTCTATCATATCTACATTTGAAACTGTGTATGGAGTCAGCCTCCACCACATCACTTCCTAATGCATTCCATTTACTAACTACTCTGACACTGAAAAAGTTCTTTCTAACGTCTCTGTGGCTCATTTGGGTACTCAGCTTCCACCTGTGTCCCCTTGTTCGCGTCCCACCAGTGTTGAATAGTTCATCCTTGTTTACCCGGTCGATTCCCCTGAGGATTTTGTAGGTTGTGATCATGTCCCCCCTTACTCTTCTGTCTTCCAGTGTCGTGAGGTGCATTTCCCGCAGCCTTTCCTCATAACTCATGCCTCTTAGTTCTGGGACTAGTCTAGTAGCATACCTTTGGACTTTGTGTGTGTGTGTGTGTGTGTGTGTGTGTGTGTGTGTGTGTGTGTGTGTGTGTGTGTGTGTGTGTGTGTGTGTGTGTGTGTGTGTGTGTGTGTGTGTGTGAGTGAGAATATTACAAACACTATTCTGTCATAGTCAGTAGTACAGTTGTGACCATTCACACTAGGGAATCCCGGGCGGGACAGAAATGGATGGACAAGTTTCCTTTCACCTGATGGGTCTATTCACCTAGCAATAAATAGGTACCCGGGAATTAGTCTACTGCTGTTGGGATTCTTTCTGCGGAGGATCAGTATAAAATACAGTCTGCCTGTCACCGACGAAATACATTATTATTATTATTATTATTATTATTATTATATTGTTTCATCCACCTGGGCTCTAGGAGATTCGAACCACGAACCACAAGCGTGTGAATTCGAATTTTTATTATTATTATTATTATTATTATTATTATTATTATTATTATTATTATTATATACTCCCACGCCAATGTCGTTGTCATTCTCGTGAGTTCATATACTAACTTATATATATATATATATATATATATATATATATATATATATATATATATATATATATATATATATATATATATATATATATATATATATATATATATATATATATATATATATATATAATCATTTTAAGGCCAGAAACTTCTCCCCTCGCTCCCCGGGTGATCTATTTTCTGAACAGCTTGACTGGCTTGATCAGCCCACCATACCTAATTTACATATTGGGGTAAGGTAGCTGAAAATGTAGTGGTGAAGGCTTCCTCCTAAAGACTTTTCGTATGTCATAACAATATACCGTTATATATTTTTGTCATTCAATCAGCTAGTTAATAATTTTTCAAATAACTGATGTTCCTCCTGGCGATATTCGTCTTTACATTCACTCACAACACAAATCAGAAGATATTCTTAAAAAAAAAATAATAATTATTGCAAGAGTTTGTTTTGTATTTTTTATCTCTCTACCAGAGATTTTCTGTCGCTCTCAGGTTAGTGGAATATTTTTTAGTAAAATATTCGTCACATTAGTTTTACTTGTTGTCTATATATGAATGTTTCGTTTTTGTGATACATAAAAATATAATTTTCAGGTAAAATATGCCTGTTTACATGACGTTCATGTCATATATCTGTTCAGACACTTAGCTTTGGTAAAATCACATTTCAAAAAATACCTTCCCGACAAAAACGTACATTGTGTTGAGAGTCAATAAATCACTAAAAATATGCAGTAGAAATCCCAGTCCCCGTCCACCAAGGTAACAACCCCAGAACCGACACCAAACATTTTATGATAATATGAGTCATGTGTCTGCCTTCAGTTCAAGCACAAGTGTCAGTTGCCTTAAGCCTTGGACAAGGCCTTCCGTAGCCTTACTACACCCCAGAAGTCTTCGAATAAACATTCCCACTCAGCAACGGTACAGATCACTCTAGACAATCAGACTTCACAAAGTTTCGAGGAGTCATTCAGCATCCCATATGTCAATTGTGTGATAGGATATGATGTCTCTGTGGTGACAGTTGTGTTTACATCCGTAACAACACCCTAAGCAGGTGCTTGGGTTCTCAAAATTTGCTTAAATAGAAACTCTTTAAGCTCCACGTGACAACAGTGTTCCACCAGTTAATGCCACCAGGACGGAGCCCCTGTATTGATGAATTTGTGGTTTACAAAACAGTGTTATATTTTCTAAGTGAATCAGTAGGTCTTTCATGGGTCTAAGATTTAATCATAGTAAACAAATGTTCAACTCTGCACTTAGCGACATTGAACGTATGTCATATTGGTCAACTTTTTAATATTAAGCACACGTGCATAGTATATTTAATGTTCGTAATGAATAAAATATATTTTTTCCTATTCAGTAGAACTCATTTTGTTTAGCTTGACGTAAATAACATGGTTGTGTTCGCTATATATTCATAATGTTAGCCGACCGCCCAAAGAAATAATAAATTTGACCCATCGTTCAAAAAGCACCGTAAATAGATGTAAGGAGAGATATATCTCCTCTTAAGTGTACTTTGGTATGTGTATTCGTATGTAGGTAATTCAGTTCAGACTCATATAACCTCCTGCATATGTGTCAAATACACAACAAAACTACGACGTTGCTACATTATTAGAACATGGTTTAATACCTTATAAAATTTATAACAACCAATATTGCAAGTTGTAACAACGTTCTAATGCATCATAAAAACGTTATAACAAGAAGTAACAACTTTATTACAAGTTGTAACAAGGGAATCATAGGGACCGCTTCGTTGTGTGTTTGCAGGGATGTACACACTCAGCACAAGTGGAGACCCTAGCACAGGTTCACCGGGAGAAACACAAAAATTGCGAAGGTACCAGAGGGAAGCAGTGTCTGAAGTTCTCGTGGCGCTTCTAATTAAGGGTTACCTCCCCTCTGGCCTTCCCGTTAACCTAAGTCTGCGACCGTTAGAGGACGCTTAAGGGCTCTCAGCCTCGCATTAAAACTATTTACAATTACCGTTGAACGCAGAAACTTGGACGTTTGTTGATGACCTTCGTATATAATTACAACGACGCACGCATAGTCCCTGACTTTTCATGTTGTAACATTGTTTGTTTGTTGTCGACTGCAGAATATTTGTCAGTTATCATCGTTAAAAAAAAAAAAACCGAATGTGACGACTCTAATAGCTGTGGGTTTCCCTTCATAAATATTCTTGTTGAATAAGAAGTTTCTGCAGGTAATAAATAAATACTTTCAAAATAATATTTATATTTTATTAAATTCACCACTTAATCACACTTTTACCAACTTGGTATTCTCGCTAAATGGGGGATAAGTCCCGCTGTTGCTGTACATGGTTCCGTAGACCCATGTCCCATTGTACCCCGACACGGAAACTAAACCCGTGTCCCACTACAGCACTAGTGGTAGCCATAGACCCTTGGACGCTCACAGATGATAGCCTTCTCGTGGTGGCAGCCTATGTCATGCCAGGTGATGCCGTCGTTGTAGAAATAGTTGAGAACGGCCAGACACCTCTCATTATAGTCCTCACGGTTGTCAGGCTGGGGCAGGCCAGTCCTGTAGAGAGGGAAGAGTTAAAGTCTTATTAGTGACTTAGTTCACGTATAGATAAGGAAGCATAATAACTGTAGAGGCAGGAGTTATATGAAGGCGTACTGGAGGTTGTATAGTGGAGTTATATGAAGACGTACTGGAGGTTGTATAGTGGAGTTATATGAAGAAGTACTGGAGGTTGTATAGTGGCGTTATATGAAGAAGTACTGGAGGTTGTATAGTGGAGTTATATGAAGAAGTACTGGAGGTTATATAGTGGAGTTATATGAAGAAGTACTGGAGGTTGTATAGTGGAGTTATATGAAGACGTACTGGAGGTTGTATAGTGGAGTTATATGAAGAAGTACTGGAGGCTGTATAGTGGAGTTATATGAAGAAGTACTGGAGGTTGTATAGTGGAGTTATATGAAGAAGTACTGGAGGATGTATAGTGGAGTTATATGAAGAAGTACTGGAGGTTGTATAGTGGAGTTATATAAAGAAGTACTGGAGGTTGTATAGCCATATGGTATTGTATAAAGAAGAGGAGCAATGTAAGTACAAGGGTTACTTGAAGATGAGAAGGTAGGTACAGGCAGTAGATCAAATAGTGCCAATGAGACTAAATGGTAAAACGGTAGTAGAAGATGGAGTATGAGATATAACATGATAATAATTAGTAGACAGTGTTATGTGAATTGAAGTGAAATACAGATGGAGACGTGATTATATAAATAACGGGATACAATACTCTTTGCAGACGGCAGTTCATAAAATACTGAAGGTAGAAACTGCTTGTAAACGGTGTTTTGTAAATTAGAAAAGATAGAGGTAGAGGTTGTAGATTTAAGTAAGGACCTTTAAATGAATTTCCAATAGTTATTACGCCTTCAAAAAAAAAAAGTCTTTTCCAGGATTTATTTAAATATTCTAATGTCTGATATTTTTGCATTGGAAAAGCAGAGATAATGTTCTTGTTTGTTTTGTATGTCGTTGTTCGAAATTGTACGTTTTTCCTTGATTCACGTTTGTAAGATCAGCATCATTGAATTTTTATTTAGTAAAGACTTAATATTGCTATAATGTCGTTTTATATAGATAAGGAATGCAAAGAGTAACCTGGGGAAAAGAACCAATAAAAGAGGAAAGTTTCGTTTGCTAAGATAATCTGACTCAATTATACATAATTTAATCAACACTTAATAATCACAATTTAATAACATGTCTATATAGAGACATGCTAAGTATAACTAAACACAGGATGGACGACAATCGAAAAAGTTGTTGATGCTTATTTTTTTCAACCGAAAAAATCTTAGAAAAGGTGAATTCTGTAGGAGGAGGGAGGGGGGGGGGGGGAAGACTACTGATGCTTTCGCGTTACGAGCATGACATTTGGTTAAAAACAGCAGAAAATGCAATCGTCTGATCTTAGCATATTTCGAAGTAATGATTACTTTCTTGTGGGAGAGGATGACTTGTAACATGTTACATCATACTTTTAAACCAGTCTTACAAAAAAAGACAGATTCTTTTGCTACGACATTATACAGCATTGTAAATCTAGGTTTTGACCCAAAAATCTATATTCTGAAGCTTGCAAAAGCAATAGACGATTAACATTATTTAATGAAGAACGAACGAATCCTTCCTGACCAGAGTTAGTAACAACGTTCATTTATGACAAAAATATATTCATTTATAATTCATTGTGTCGGAGGAAAGGAAGCCAGAATGTATTCATACACTCAGCTAGGTGAACAGATACATTAGGTGAAAGAAAATGTGCCCAACCATTTCTGTCCCGCCCTAGATTCGAACCCGGAATTCGCGATAGTGCGTCGAGAACGAATCCGACTGTACTACTGGACCCTCCTATCCCGATAGTATTGATCTAAGATGTACAATTAAGATATTATCAACATAAAAAGATAATAATCGGCTTAAGAACAAGTTGGAAGATTGAAACTTACAGTCCGGTCAGAGACCAGTTGAGACCAATGAATGGTTTTCCAGAGAGCCAAGTCCAGCCATAGTTGCTGCGGTAACCGCCGGTCCAGATGTACCTCAGTTTGTCTGACGGGGAAATAAACACATGAATTAATATGAGTTATTTGTTTGCGCAAATAGTGAATAATATAATATTTATTTCACAAGGATTAACATTTTTAATTCGGTAGATATGCTCCGTTACTCAGATTTTCAAAGTCTTCTACAATAAAGTAAATTATTTACATTTCAATTACGATATATTATAGAAAATAGCATTTATACCAATTATCAGATGTTGTATTGTTGAGAAAATAATACTTTTAATATATTTTAATAATAGCAAATCTTTATTCTCCCTTATCTTTTAAAGCACACACTAACTTTATTTTTTATTATAGATCTTCTGACGGACAAATGATGGTAGTTTTTCTCTTATCCTTCGATATTAAATGCGTTTCTACTCAATAAGGCCGTAACAATGTTTAATTATGCTTTAATTGGTACTTGGGTGTTAAAGAGCTGCTACTGGCTGGGTATGTGTGTGTGTAAGTGTGTGTATTCACCTAGTTGTGCTTGCGGGGGTTGAGCTCTCCTCTTTCGGCCCGCCTCTAAACTGTCAATCAACAATTAATAACTACTAACTATTTTTTCACACACACACACACACACACACACACACACACACACACACACACACACACACACACACACACACACACACACACACACACACACACACACACACACACACACACACACACACACACTGCATTGCATTGCAGAAAATGCACCTTAAGGCACTGGAAGACAGAAGAGTAAGGGAACAAGATCACTTCCTACAAAATCCTCAGGGGAATTGACAGGGTAGACAAGGATAAACTATTCAACACTGGTGGTACGCGGACAAGGAGACACAGGTGGAGACTGAGTCCTGAAATGAGCCACAGGGACGTTAGAAAGAGCTTTTTCAGTGTCAGAATAGTTAACAGGTGGAATGCATTAGGCAGTGATGTGGTGGTGGAGGCTGACTCCATACACAGTTTTAAATGTAGATATGATAGAGCCCAGTAGGTTCAGGAATCTGTGCACCAGTTGACTGACGGTTGAGAGGCGGGACCAAAGAACCAAAGCTCAACCACCGTAAGCACAACTAGGTAAGTACAACTAGTTGAGTACACTAGGCGGGACCAAAGAGCCAAAGTTCAACCCTCGCAAACTCAACTAGGTGAGTGTACTGCTCTACACGACACAGTATAACCACACACAACACAGAATCCCATACGACCCCACATGACACGAAACCAAAATCTTATACAACACACAACATAGATGATACAACACAATCATTCACAACCATACACACCACACACAGCCCTATATACAACCACTCCCAACCCCATACTCAATCAACAATACCCTTATGCACTTAACAAAATACAAAACCACACACACACACTTAAGTCATGTGTTGATGCATGTAATGGCTTGTTAACAAGCAGTATTTGTGGCGATGGTCAGCCACAGGATGGCAATCGACTTCGCTGGGTATTAAATTAAGGCCACCACTAACTTACTAACCAGCAAGAATACTTTAATTCTGGACGCAGATCTCGACTAAGGTTACATCTCAAGGTCCAGCAAACCTGCGGGCTCCTCCAAGATGATGTACTCCATCTCTTGTACACTGGAAACTTTCACCAATGAATGTGTTTGTGAAAAATGTTGTATTATCTTTTAGTACTTTTACAGCGGGAAAGTGATATCAACTCGCTTATCTTCAACTCGGAAACACGGCAAACCTCTACACATAATCAGAATCCATCCTATATGTGTAATAATTTGTAATGCTTCTCTAATCTTGCGTATTAACTTCTCGTTCCTAGCCTTGTCAAAATCCATTCCCCCTTACCTATCAAAGAAATAATTGGTTTGTTTCCATTCCAAAACAAATTACTGGCAATCCTGTCAACTGTGCCTTTAAACACCATTAGCAACAGTACCTCTTCATACTGCTAATCCAATTCTACTCTCACGTTAACAATAGATAGTCCAAAAGCACTCGCGCCTCCCAACTGTCTCTAACGCTTCACGTGATGTTATAAAATTAATGAAGCTTTGTCGCCAAATAATGTACAGCCAAAATGGTGCTTTTATGATATTAACATGTGCAATGTAATATCAAGAAGGTACAAGATATATTTACACTTTCAAAAACGTGGGTTGACAAGCAAAATGTAAGGAAACAATTACTCGACCAAATCATTCTTCCATCTTAGAAGCGTCGGTTTAGATACGTGTAACTGCGGTAGCCTGTAGAAGGCTGCGAACGTTTTGTCTTGCACCAACAAAAGAAAAAGTTTCAATTCCAAGTCGCTTGGAGATGCTTAGCGTGTTTCCTTACCGTAGGCGATGACGTTGTTGATGATCTTGCTCTCAAAGATGGTCTCTATGCTGACACCTTGCCAGCCTGGCCCCAAGCTCGTGCAGTAATAGATGGCTTGCTCCCATGGGTATTCCTTACCTCCGTCGTGGCGCCAGGAGAAGTGATAGTCACTGTATTGACTCGACAAATCAACCTGATTGATGAAGTAAATTGAACTTGAGTGTTTATAACATGTTTTGCTGTTGACATGGGTTAGAAGGGATTGGAGCGGGATAAGTAATATCTCGGTAGAATTCTGAGATGGAGAAAGATGTGGTGGAACGTGGTATCTTAAATATTATGGTTGGGATAAATCCGAAGCGGATTATTAATAAATAAAGAATGAGTATGAGTGTGGCATCAGTGTTGTACGAAGCGACTGTTGGAGAAAAACACTGAAAGGTCGACAATGGAACTGAGCAACTTTCAGGCGTACCTGCTGTAACACTTGCGGCGCCACACACCTCAATGTTTATTATGATAGATTATATGATAAGCTCCATGGAGGAAGAGAGTCACTGCTTTAACCATTTGATAGCTGGAAAGGTGGGACTTATGAATTAACGTTCCACACACACACACACACACACACACACACACACACACACACACACACACACACACACACACACACACACACACACACACACACACACACACACACACACATACATCACACACACACACACACACACACACACACACACACACACACACACACACACACACACACACACACACACACACACACACACACACACACACACACATACATCACACACACACACACATACACACACACACACATACACACACACCCCGACCTGAAGAAACACATAAGGAAACTGGAGAAAGTTCAGAGGTTTGCGACGAGGCTTGTCCCAGAGTTACGAGGGATGGGATATGAAGAGCGTCTGAAGGAACTGAACCTTATGTCACTAGAAAAAAAGGGAGATGGGGGGTATGATAAGAACTTATAAAATACTCAGGGGAGTTGACAAAGGGGAAATAGAAGAAATGTTCGCACGGAATACTAACAGAACGAGGGGACATGGGTGGCAGGTAGAAACTCAGATGAGTCACGGACATGTTAGAAAGTTTTTTTTAGCGTGAGAGTAGTGGAAAAATGGAATGCACTTGGGGAACCGGTTGTGGAAGCAAACTCTATTTATAATTTTAAAACTAGGTATGATAGGCAAATACGACAGGAGTCATTACTGTAAACAACCTATCGCTCGATAGGCAGGGTCCAAGAGTCAATGCTCGATTCTGGAGGCACAAATAGGTGAGTACAAATGAGTACATACATGGATGGGGCTTCGCGGCTGAGAGGATAGCGCTAGGGAAGTCGTAGTCCTAATGGCTCGGGTTCGATTCCCGGCGGAAGCGGAAACAAATGGGCAGAGTTTCTTTCACCTTGATGCACCTGTTCACCTAGCAGTAAATAGGTACCTGAGAGTTAGACCACTGCTGCTGGCTGCTTCCTGGGGATGTGTGTGCGTGCGTGTGTTAGAGAAATATATGTGGTAGATATAAAAAAAGAAAATCGATTAGTTAGAAAGGCGGGGTCAATAAGCTAATAGCTCGATTCTGTAAACACAAATAGTAAAACACGAAATAGTAAATACGATATAAAGGAAATTAATGAAGATCATTGCTGTGAATGGGAAGCTTCTAAAAAGGCTATTCATAATCCTCTTTGGCGCTAGAGGGAAAGATGTTTTAGGAAGACGGATTAATGTAATTAGATTGGTAAATTATTGACCTTGTTGCATATTATTGACGCATTGGTAATTAAGAGATAGTCAGCAAGGCGGACAGCCCGCCTGCTTTCAAAACTCTCACTGTATTTCCCACTTCTAAACTTCCCTTCACCTATGCCTCTCCTTCCTCTTTACTCCCCCCTCCCAAAAAAGTAATTAAGAAAAGAAAAAAATAGACCCCTTAAGATAATACTTGGAGGAATAAAGACAGATACTAAAATAGGCAAAGTTACTACTGAAAGATATCGAGAAGGGCAAGCAGTGCTGCTGAGACAGATATATCCAGTCTTACCAACCGTTGGAGGGTTATGAAGGCCACCAGTGTAGCTTAATGGCCAGATGCAAGTTGACTTTAGTCCTGAATATATAGTGTACGACTGAATATAAACCGATAACAACATTGCAACATTCGCATATCAAATATTTTCAGACTCCGAAAACGTTCACAAATAAAATATTTATTTTATAGGCATACATAAAAATAGTGAGACATTAGACAACATTCATGCAAAAAACATTTACACATATCAGTAAGTGTTCGCCAAGAATACATATGCAGACTAGAGAATACAGACGATACATATATGAAAACAGAACAAAGACTTACCAGGGCTCCTTGGTAGCTGTATTGCAGCGCCGACCCAATACCTTGCACTCCTACACCACCAAGTCCTACACCACCAAGTCCAACACCACCAAGTCCTACACCACCAAGTCCTACAACACCAAGTCCTACACCACCAAGTCCTACACCACCAAGTCCTACACCACCAAGTCCTATACCACCAAGTCTTCTACCGTAATATCCCACACCACCAACTCCTACACCACCAAGTCCTCCACCACCAAATCCTACACCACCAAGTCCTCCACCACCAAGTCCTACACCACCAAGTCCTCCACCACCAAGTCCTACACCACCAAGTCCTACACCACCAAGTCCTACACCACCAAGTCCTACACCACCAAGTCTTCTACCATAATATCCCACACCACCCCCCAGTGTTCCGTGCGGGGAGGCGACCACAGCCACCAAGGACAGCACAAGCAGCACCTTCATCTGAAATACAAAAATTCAGAATAAGTAGCCAGTGGTAATTATTTAATAAAAAGTCACAAAGGCGATATAGAAAATGTGTAATAATGTTCAAGAGACGATGGCGATGAATTCAACAAATAAAACAATATAAATGCAAAATTAAGTAAAATTTAACTTGCTATACGAGATATTTATATTTAGTGTTTTCAATTAGTTTTTCAACATATTCGATAGTTTTTGAGACGGTGTTTGTTTAAACATGCATTAAAACAAAGGTAAAAAAAATGAAATAACAAATTACAACTCAATACTAATATCGAGAGTAACATAAGATAAAAACCCACTCTTGTGTATTTATGAAATTTATGTAAATAATTTACACCAAGTCTTTTACACTCTCCTGAGTGCTTTATCGAGGTTTGAGTGTGTGGTTAGGACGAGACTTCAATGTTGAGATACAAGTCTCGTCCTCACCACACACTCAGACCTTAACAAAGCACTCAGGAGACTGCGAAAGACTTGGTGTAAATTCTTTACATAAATTTCACAAATACACAAGTGTGGGTTTTTATCCTAAATCAAATGCAATGATGGCAATCTAAATATACGTTTTCGGATTTATCGCCAGATAACAAGTAGCAACAACTATAGCAATTATAAAATTAAATCGAATATTTACTGAACAAAATAATTTCAAATATTTATCCAACAATCTCTGCCATGAACTAAGCACTGAGCAGTCTTTTCTCTAGTGTCCTTAAGTGTACGTTCTATAGTGATTGTCAGTACACTATAGAATTTTTTATTGCACGCCCTCTAGTGTTCTTTGGCGAGCGTTCTGTAATGTTCTCCACCGTTGTTCTCCACTGCTCACCGTGTCAAATACCAGAGTGCCACAAACCCCATGAGCGTGTAGCCTTTTATATGATATATTGAGTTCAAGGTATGTTTTTGTCCTATGACATTAACCTGTATCGGGAGGAGAGCGGAGCGGAGAGAGCAAGACGAGTATTGAAGTACTCAAGCAGTTTAAGAGGCAGGTGACCTAAGTTGAAAGGTAAAGAGATACAAATGAGAGAGAGGTTCATCTATGAGTAGAGCAGCAGTGACAGGTGAAGATGGATAGTGTTAGTAAACAACTTCAATCGTGTAAAGAAGAGGGTTAGGTAATAGGAAACCGGTAGCAGGAGACCTGGTCAGAGAACGAGCCGCGAGGGACGTTAATCCTTTGAATCATCATAAGGTAAGGTAGGTAGATAGGTAAGGTAGGAAGGAGAGGAAGTTTCGTCGTTGTTGGGGTGTGGCCCACATGGACCGGTGGGTAAGATAACGAGGGCGTGAAGGTTACAGTAGCCTGTAGTGACCGGTTAGGATGTGGGCGAGGAAGTTGATGCTACGTGAAAGTGTAGCATCAGGTTGTCTCACCAACAACTGGTTGACCTACCTGGGCGGGACCAAAGACCCTCCACCACCCACCAACCATTACCCATCGTTTTAGTAATTTTATTTCTTTATTATTTTAATTGTAAAATTAATATTATTACTCCAAATTATCACATATAAATATATATATATATAATATATATATATATATATATATATATATATATATATATATATATATATATATATATATATATATATATATATATATATATATGTATATATATATATATATATATATATATATATATATATATATATATATATATATATATATATATATATATATATATATATATATTTTGGTAGCAGTCTTTCTTGTAAGCATATGTTGTTGAATATGACCGAAAAGGTAAGATTAATAATTCTAACACGAATTTTCTCAATATTTCTTATGTTTTTCATCGCTGTCGGTGGTAATGAAAATATCAATTCTCCAATATTTATTTTTTAATTGTCTGACGCCTAAACGCGTTTCGTAATGCTTATTACATTTTCAAAGACTAAATTTACACACAGATTCATCGAACTTATGCTCATTTTGGGTGAGGTGATATGATAAAAAAGTTTTAGGTGAGGTGAACAAACTTATGACAAACACAAGACAGAACACGAAATAATGAGTATAAATTGGATGTGAGAACTGAAGAAGGCCTATTGGCCCATACATCCTCTTGTTGCTTCCATATTGGTTCGGGGCCTTGCAGTGGGTAGAATATAGTTGTGCATTAATTGGCTGTAGATTGCTGGTGTTGACTTTTTGATGTGTAGTGCCTCACTGATGTCGAGCCGCCTGCTATTACTGTACACATCGATGATTTCTGTGTTGTTTGTTAAGATTTCTCTGGTGAAGGCCCTGGTTGTAAAAAGAGATTATATGTTCCTTGATGGCGCCCTGTTGCTTATGCATTGTTAATCGCATGGAAAAAGACGTTGTTGTCTTGCCTATATACTGAGTTCTTTGGGGCTTACAGTCCCCAAGTGGCCATTTAAAGGCATAGACGACGTTGGTCTCCTTTAAGGTGTTCTGCTTGGTATCTGGAGAGTTTTTCATGAGTAGATTGGCCGTTTTTTTGGTTTAATAATAAATTGTCAATTGTATTTTCTGATTTTTGTCTGTAGGGATAACGTTACTATCAACAATATCTTTCAAGACCCTTTCCTCTGTTTTATGAGCCGTCGAAAAGAAGTTCTGTAAAATAGTTTAATTCGGGGTACAAGTGTTGTGTTGGTTGACTCTTCAGAGGTTGCATGGCGTTTCACCTTTCTATTTATGATGTCTTCAACGAGACCGTTAGAGAAGCCGTTGTTGACTAGAACTTGCCTTACTCTACTGAGTTCTTCATCGACTTGCTTTCAATCTAAGCTGTGGCTGAGAGCACGGTCGACGTAAGCGTTGACAACACTCCTCTTGTACCTGTCTGGGCAGTCACTATTGGCATTGATGCACATTCCTATGTTGGTTTCCTTAGTGTAGACTGCAGTGTGGAAGCCTCCGCTCCTTTCCGTGACTGTTACATCCAGAAAGGGCAGCTTCCCATTGTTCTCCATCTCGTAAGTGAAGCTCAACATAGAATTCCGCTCAAATGCCTCCTTCAGCTGCTGCATACATCTGGCATCAGGTACCTGCGTAAAAATGTTGTCAACATATCTGCAGTATATGGCAGGTTTCAAGCCCATGTCAACTAAGACCCTCTGCTCGATGGTACCCATGTAGAAGTTCGCAAACAGGACACCTAGGGGGGAACCCATGGCGACCCCATCTACTTGCTTATGCATGTGCCCATCTTGGCTCACGATGGGTGCCTCTTTAGTGCAGGCTTGGAGTAGTTTCCTCAGTGTGTTTTCTGGCATGTCAAGAGGAGTGCAAGCTGGGTCACGATACACTCTGTCTGCTATCATCCCGATTGTTTTGTCTACCGGCATGTTGGAAATAGTGACTCTACATCCAACGAGGCTCTTTTCCCCGTGGCCTGAGCTCCCCACAGTAGATTCAACAAATTCCTTGGGAGACTTCAGGCTGAAAGCACAAGGTACGTAAGGAGTCAGCAACCCGTTGAATCGTTTAACCAGTCTGTATGTGGGTGTGGGTATCTGGCTGATGATTGGCCGTAGTGGGTTTCCAGGCTTGTGGGTCTTAACATATCCATAGGCATACCCAGGTTTGTATTCCCCAACAATTTTTGGCAGGTGGAGTCCGGATTTCTTGGCATTCACAGTTTCGATCAATCTGTTTGCCTTCGTTTTCAATTCGGCAGTAGTGTCGTTCGTTACCCTTTGGAATTTCGGTTTGGTCGGAGAGTATGAGGTTCATTTTTGCCAGACATTCGTCTTTTCTAAGAATAACGTATATTGGCTACTTGTCACCTCTCCTGACGACTATCTCCTTGTTCTCAAAGCTGCTGCTTTGAGTTCGGAGGACAGTATGGTGCTTCTGTAGTTACCTCGAATCTTTCCTCCTTCTGCAATTAGTTCTGCTTGTAAGGTGTCTTTAGTGGTAACCTTCTTTTGCTTCTCGAGGTCGAATATGTCATCAATAGAATCTCCAACTCCACTTTCCGGGCCATCTCACTTGGTCTGGACATAACGTGACAGTTTATGCCCAGATTTAAGAGAGTGATTTGGTCCTCAGTGAGCATGATTCCATCAAGGTTTAAGAAGCTATCTCTGGGTCGTGGAATCGCCATGGGTCCTCCAAATAGTGTTGTCAGTTTCTTCTACTCCACGCTACAAACCAATGGAGGAACAGCAGCCTCGACGAAGACCTTCGTACTTGCATGGAACAACACCTCGACATCCTCACAGATCGACATCACCACAGCACCGAAACCAGGATCATCAAGTCAGAAATGATCAGATCTATTTGAATTATATGTTTTCTATTCCAGTTTCTGTCTGCCTCTCTCTCTCACTCTCACTCTCACTCTCACTCTCACTCTCACTCTCACTCTCTCTCTCTCTCTCTCTCTCTCTCTCTCTCTCTCTCTCTCTCTCTCTCTCTCTCTCTCTCTCTCTCTCTCTCTCTCTCTCTCTCTCTCTCTCTCTCTCTCTCTCCCGCTCTCCTTCTTTCTTACGTTCGATCTACTTTCACTCTCAGTCCGATACTTTTTAGTGTTTGCCTTAGACAACATTTTGCACCTTACGTAACCAAACCTGTTTTAGTTTATGCACAAAACCTAGCCTGGTTTGGTCTTGACTTTTCCAACAAACATGATTTGCAGAAACATGAAGATTGGCCAATATTGAAGTAGCAGTAATAATCTAGATTATAATTAAATACAGTAGAATGAGGTGGATTTAAATAAGGATTAATTTTAAAAATATATAACTATTTAAGCACGCTTGTTTATTATGACGGAAACCTGCTTTTATTAGGAATAAGGCAGAAATCCATAAGGCAAATAAAATTTCTAAAAATTATTGCTTAAATCAAGCAATTGAGAGTGCAATAAATTATATTAATTTATATACTTGAGATAGTCGCCAATAACCGCTCGAAGCCAGAAAAATTTTGAGTTTGTAAAATAAATGTGTTATAAATTACCTTTATTTACTGATAGCATAAAATACAAATTACA